AGGTGGGTCCTTTACTCCCCTCTAGGAGGGTTCCGGAAGAAGGCCTTGTCATGGGAGAAGATGGTTCCATCATTATTGTCCATAGGGACCTCTATTGGGACAAGATGCAAAGCTGAAGATTGTGTTCCTGCTGATCCCAAACATGTGCAGGCCCACACTAGTGTGAGTACTTGAATGTAAACAAAAACATTTAGAAAATAGAGAAGAGCTTATAAATAAAGATCTTATAAAAGAAAGTATTTTTGTATAGCTGTGCAATGTGTTTAAGTAGTGATTACAAAATGAGTCAGAAACATTTTAGGAAGTTAAAAATGTATGCTGTATAATGTTGTAGTAAGCTAAGGTTAATTTATTATGGAAGAAAGAGCATTTTAATATACATGTGTCATAGTGGATGTATACCAATTTCTCCCTGTTCATTCAGTGGCTCATTCAGAGCAATCTCTGTCTTGAATCTTGTTGTGTATCTTTAATCCTCGATGTCATATTTGTTCTGTGCCTTTTCTGGATGTAGATAAATTTGGATACACAAGTACTTGTGATGCAATTGCTCACAGTACAGTGCTCAGCACTATCACAAGCAGCACAGGTGCGTAGGCTTGGAGCAATCTGCTACCTATATGGCCTGATGTGTACTAGGATATAACACTAGACTGGTGTGAGTATACTCCATAACATTTGCTCAATGATGCAATTGCCTAGTAACACGTTTCTTAGAACTTGTAATCCCATCATTAAGTAATACATGACTATTTTCCTAAGTTTCTAGGAAACTTAGGAAACTTGCTGATCTCAAGCCCATGTAATAATGTTCTTTTATTTGGTCTTAGAGCTTGAACTCAGGCCCTGAGTTCTGTCCCCGAGCTTCTTTGTGCTCAAGGCTAGCACTCTACTACTTGAGCCAGAGCACCACTTGTGGATTTTTTCTTAGTAGTTTATTGGAGATAAGAGTCTCACAGATTTTTCTGCTCAGTTTGGCTTCGAACTGTGATCCTCAGATCTCAGCCTCCTGAGTAGCTAAGATTATAGGCATGAGCCACCGGAGCCTAGCATAATGTTCACTTTTTTTTTTTTAATCATGTACTTGAAGTTCCAGGTTTAATACCATTTTTTGTTGGGGCTTTAACCGGGTAGCATTTTATGTTCTGTAATTGATTGAATTTCTTTGTATACTATTTGTATGCTATTCAGGAGGCTGAGATCTGAGGATTGTGGTTAAAAGCCTGCCCAGGCAGGAAAGTCTGTGAGACTCTCCAATTAACTACCAGAAAACTGGAAGTGGTGCTGTGGCTCAAATGGTAGAGCACTCGTCTTGAGCTAAAGAGCACCCAGGCCCAGAGTTCAAGCCCCATGACTGACCAAAAAAAGAAAGAAAGAAAGAAAGAAAGAAAGAAAGAAAGAAAGAAAGAAAGAAAGAAAGAAAGAAAGAAAGAAAGAAAGAAAGGAGAGAAAGAGTAAGAAAGAAAGGAAAGAAAAGAGAGAGCAATTTTAACAGTCTCAATTATAAATTCTTCTTTTAAAAATCCTTTTGTATTTTGGGGGAGGCAGAGATCAGTATGTTGTGGTTCTAGGCAACACAAGCACAAAAGTGAGATTTCATTTCAACCGAGGGCTGGACATAGTGACGCACAACTATTAACCTAGTTACAAGAGCAGATTGGCTGGGCACAGTGGCGTGTGCCTCTCATCCTCAGATACTCAGGGAAATACCAGCAGGAGAACTAAACTGCAGTCTCCTGGACTAAAAGGGAGACTCTTTTGTGAAAAGGGGGTTGGAGGTATGGCTCAAGGGATAGACCATCTGCCATGTAAGCATGAGGCCGAGTTCAATTCCAAGTACACAAATTAATTTAGGAGTGATTCACCATCTCATCTCACTCCACAAAGTCTATGTGAGCTCATTACTCTTTTGTATTTTCCAAGCCTGAAACATTTTGGGAGCTCTCCTCTGGATTATTCCTTAACTGCTCTGTTGCCTGATGATCATGAGCAGGAGTTGAGACACCTGGACTTGCCATTTTTCTTGTGTTTCTAAGGCTTGTTCTGTTCATTGTTGCTGTTGTTTTTATGTACTGTACGATTTTTTTTTTGTTTCTTTTGTATGTTCTTCCCCTGATGGTAGAACCCCTGTTGTCACTGTGTTTGATTCTGGTGCCCTACATCTTGTATATACATTTTTCTAATTTGGGGAGGGGAAGGGACATAACAAAATGCTGAAACAAAAATAAAGGTTTGGGCTGGGAAGGTGGCTCAGTGGTAGAGCGCTTGCCTTGCATGCCTGAGGTCCTGGGTTCGATTCCTCAGCACCACATAAGCAAAAAGAAAAAAAGCCAGAAGTGGCGCTGTGGCTCAAGTGGTAGAGCAGTAGCCTTGAGCTGAAGAGCTGAGGGACAGTGCCCAGACCCAGAGTTCAGGTCCCACGACTGGACCCCCCCCCTCCCCCCAAAAAAACGAATAAAGGTTGACCCATTGTAACGATGAGATGTACAAGACACTATGTTGAAAACAAACTCTACAACTGGAGGGGAGGGGGACTGTTGGAGCAGTGAGGAGGGAAGGGTTAGTAGGGGAAAAACAAAGGAGGGGGTAAAAATACTGGATAAGAAATGGACTCATTACTTTGGTCAGGTAACTGTAACCCCTCTGTACAGTATCTTTACAATAAGAAAGAGACTGAAACATTGCCTTTTCACTTAATCAGCTTGGTTTCTTTCTTGCTTCACATGGTCCCCAAGGGCCTCTGCCAATGACGAAAGACTTCTTTAAAATTAAAAATTAAAAAATATTCTTTCTCATTAGCATTGCTTCTTCCTACACCACCCAGACATTTGATTCCATTCAATTTCTGATACCCTTCTGGAGACAGCCTTAGCTCGTAGTCTCATTGGAAAGAATTACACCTTTCCATTGCACACATCCTGCAAAGTCACTACACGTGGTTTTGGCAGAAGTAGAATTGTCACAATTATTATGGCTAAAAGACATTATAAATGTTCCTTTCTCTTCTATAGGAAAGAGTGTCTATTCAAGAAATTCTAGCAGACGCTACTTGCTAATGCTCAGATTCATTTAACTTGTATTTTTTCTTTTCAAGATTGTATGGATTTGTGTGAGCAAAGACCAAAAGAGTTTCATTTGGGGAAAAAAAGAGATTCTCTAAAATTAAAAAAAAATTAAGTTACCCGAGACAAATATGTAACCCCTGCACTCAAGGACTAGAAGGGTCTTTACTTGAAAGCGACTAATGCCTTAATTTTACATGTAAGAAAATGGAAGCTTCTTACTTTATAAGATGATTCAACTATTACTATTACTAGTAAGTTTCATGTTATTCACATCCTCCCCAAATTCACAGTTTGCGAACAAAATCTAGAGATTCTGTTATAGGAAGCAGATAAAAGTTTCTACGTGAGACTATTATTTGAAACTGTGTTTCCTTGTACAGTGTCTCTCTGTTTGCAAACAAATTGGGTTTATCACATGCTTCTCTGTGTATTATTTACCCAGAGGAGAAAAGGCCTTAGTAATGGCTACATGAGGCAAACTTCCATAGAGTTTTCCATGCATTCATTTGTCTTGCATCTACTTCGTGCTACCGGAGCAGAAGAAGGCAAACTTGCCAGCCTCTTCCATGTAACTGAGGTCAATACTACAAAAGTCTAGCAAGATCTGAATCCATCGCCAGGAAAATCAGACTGAAAATCATTATGAAAGAGTTCCTTAGGTAAATGTTGTGGATTATCCCCCAAAGCAACTAGTTACCTCATTTCTACTAGAACAAAAGAAGTTAATGTTTCAAAGTTTTATTGTCTAAAAGGTGCAGTTTTTAAAGTAGAGGGTTTTTTGAAAAAATAATTTTAAAAATTATCATTAGAAATGAAATTCTTGGGGCTAGAGGTGTGGCTCAGGTGGTAGGGTTCCAGCCAATGAGCAAAAGCAGAGTACAAGTTCGAGTTCCAGTCTCAGACAAAACAAAATAATGAGATGCCTTGTCTTAATATCATTGTCCTTCACTAAATAACCTGGTCTATGATAACCAGGAACATGTAAAGCAGTATTTATTGAAGCTTTATTCATGATAGAAAAGGCTAAAAAAATCAAAAGGAAATGACATTATCTATAGATAGGTAAATACATTGTGGCCATCTTAAAGTAGAATGCTTTGAGCAATGAAAAATGGCCTAGAATATGGGTGAATCATGCAAGAATGAAATTTTGAGTGAAAGAATAAAGTCACAAGGCAAGTATATCATTTGATTGTCTTCATGTAAATTTCAAAACATGGCAATAAATAAATAATATACTAATCGCATACATAGTAACTTTCTCCCAAACTCAAGGGACACATCACTATTCTGTTCAGAACAAATAAATGTTACTTCTGAGTGAGAGGAGAGAATTGTCATCAAGAGGCATTAGTAGCATGACTCTCGCTTGAACAGTCAGTTTACAGTTAATTGCTCATCCATATGCTCGTCCAACAGTGCTCATACCTTTTGTGTGTACTATACCTATTTTTTTTTATTTTAAATTGACAAACTTGAAGAACCCCAAACCAGATATCTGAGTTTAATATAAAGGTTAAGAAATATGCATTTTATCCAAGTTCCCACAGTGGTTGTGAGAGGATCACACTTGCTATACCTAGAGCATTTCCATACTCTTCACCTTGGAAGTTGGCATTGTCAAAAGAAGTACACCATAATTAAAAGGACATCACTTATAATAACAAATAAGCACACAACACTCCTAGTTCCAGAGATTAATTTTTACTATACAAAAAACTCTAAAGAGCTACAAAAGAAAACCCAAAGAAGATGCATTTTCTAACCACATTAGTCAAGTTACATAAGATTCAGATGAACATACATCACATCTCCGTACCATGCAAGTACCATACAGAGAAACCTGGTCAACCATTATACCACCAGCTGAGGTATTTAGTACCTGAAAGTCAACCCAGTGCCCTCTTTGTTTATCATTTGCCTATAAAAATTAAGCCCTGGATTCTTTATAAAACATGAAATTATTGTCAAGAAAATCATCAGAATAAAATATGGTTAAGGCAATAAAATAGATGAAACATAGCCTCAGCCAACTGCCAGTCAATATGAATATCAAAAGTTCCTAAAATGTGCTGTAATTACAGTCATTCCAAGCAACGCTGGGTGGTTATTTTCATGATCTAAACATAGAGTGTTGCTATCCCAAGCAATCTTGCTATGCCATAATTTTATTTTACATATGTACAGGTTGTATTATTGTCTACACGCATCAGGGACTCTCTCAATCATCTCATCTCAATAGCCATGACTTATCAAGAAGAAAGTTTTCTGTTGGTTCTTGCTCTCAAAAAGAGCCTTGGAAGTCCCCTTCTCTTTGCTTCCAGTAAATTCTAGGAAGTCTGAATGTTCAGTTGTTTTTCTTGTAGAATGATGAGCACTATTAAGGATTTGAACTTACAAATAGGGTCTCTGGTTGAATATTTCAAGTGTGAGCTACACTTTTGATTTCTGTGCATCTACAAGACTATATGATCCTTTCATGTTGGCTTTTCTTGCAAAATAAATGGTCATTCCAATGGCAGGTATTATGAGAGAGGATGCGCAATACAGTACCAGGAGTTCAGGAGAAAAATAGTCTTTGTTATTTTCTCTTCCTGGAAAATAACCAAATAGGTGCAATTAATGTCCAGTACAAAAAGAAATCATTAAATAACACGTTTTATTCTTATAGTACAAGTAGTTCTCCAAAAAGAAAGAGCTCTAAAGTCATGATGAGGGCCAGAAGGACCCACAATGCATTTCTCTGAATTACCCAAATAACACATTGGTGGATGCTTTGGTCATAATGGATGTAAAGATGACAGCTGTCAATTTCTACAAACTTGGATTCAAAAAGAGTCCATTTCAGGATCAAAATAGAAATGAACATGCAATGTTTGGGGGCAGGGGTCCTTCACAAGCACAGGAATTGGAGGAGGGTCTTCGAGGAAATAGAAAAAATCTACTAGAGTATTGAGACTAAGGATTCTGATCACCATGAGTAGAAGTGGCTCACCAGTTCCCAAACACAAACAAAAACCCCTTGTAACATTTACAACATGGCCATTATAGTTAAACTCTATAGATTGAGAGGGAGAGGAAGAATCCGGGCTGATGGTATGCATGTTTGCAAGCTATGTTTTGTCTGACTGAAGGAAGGGCATCTTAACATGTGTCATTCCCCTTCAGTATTTGTGTTTACTGGGGGTCTTTGGATAGCATTGTATTTCAGTTTTAATGTCACTCGTGTAATGTCACTCATTCCCTACTGCTCCCCTAGTCTGTTAAGAACCCCAACATGTTCTCACTTTTGCTTCATATCCCTTAGTGCTACTTGTAATTAAACATTATAACTATTTGCTAAATTTGGTTTGTTCTTCTGACTGTAAACTCCATAAAGATACGTATGTCTGCTTTCCTTTGGACCCACCAGCCTTTAAGTCACTACTTGGAATAAAACTGGTACCTCCAAAGTGCTTTTTAAACTCTAATAAAGTATTGTGGCTTTTTTAATCTTATCATTTTGCTAATTAGTTATAACTGGAATATGAAAATAATAGTATACAAAAACTTTAAAATTAGTAGTCTTTATAACCTACCCCCCTCAAAAATCACCTGGCAGCTGCAATTTAACATCTGATAGTGGTAAGAGTGTGTGGGACACAGCCCAGCATTTGTGGAGATGCGCTTCTCTTTACTTGGCACAGCACTGAATGGTAGACTTACAATTAAGGTTCACGAAGTGGCATGCATGTGGTCTTAGTGCTGACAGGAGTTAGTGATCTGCCTATGGGCATCACTGCCTTCCACCTAGAGCTTTCTAAACACTGAAAGCCATCCAAGGGAAAAGAATCCATAGAATCAAGTGATGTGAAATGAGCTGTATCACATTATCAAGGAAACAACACTTTAAGCATAATAGTTGCTCCATTTTTCAACATTTGGTAGGTATAATTGAGCTAGTGAATGTATAAGGATAACTTTTTAATTTATGTGCCCATGTGGAGGCTTGAATTCAGAGCTTTGAGCTTTTTGGCTCAAGGATGTAGCTCTACCACATGAGCCACAGCTCTACTTTTGATGGCTAGTTGAAGATAAGAGTCTTCACTTCTTGTGGGGGTTGGCTTCGAACCTCAGTCTGCATATCTCAGCCTCCTGACTAGCTAGGTTTACTGGTGTGAGCCACCAGCACCCAACTAAGATTCTCTAAGTTTTGATCTCAGGGCATCATGCTTGTTCAGCTGATGGTCTACAACTTCAGCCATGCCTCTAGTCCAGCTTTTTGGTGGCTAGTTATAGATAGAGTTTTAAAGACTTTTCTGCCTGAGGTACATTCAGTCCCAACTGAGAACTATTACAAGCATGAACCACTGACACCTGGCACATTTGTAATGGGATGTTTATCACCATAATTGTGGTTAAGCGTCAGTACTGATGACATGCTGGGCAAAACTATTTATGTCATTATTTTCCTTTCCGTTTAATAAGTATTATATTTGCTTTTTACTTTTCCCCTCAGGCAATTGCAAGAAAATTCTTGCTGCTGAGTCAGTACCCAGGAGAATCTTCTCATAAAAATGTTAATGGCTGTATAAATCCTGAAACTCTTAAATTCCTGACCATATCTATCAATTGAATACATTTAAGCCACAACAACACAATTTCAAAACTCACTTAAACACACAAGAAAAAAAAAACTTCAAAATACACAGGAAAAAATGTCAAATTTTAGTCTTCATACATGTCCAGCTTTTTAAAACCAGATTTAATTATGGAGCATGAATTTGAATTTCTGCCTGAATGCCTAATATTTGTTTGATTGTTCACTTCTACGGTGAATAAACTGTGGTAAAAATTATATGTGATTAATTTAGTAAAGTAATTTAGAAAAGGTAATGTATACAGGAGAAGAGATAAAAGTCAAGAAGAAACTTTAATGTGTCTCATAAAGAACAATTACAGATAGATGGTCAGCAATGTTAGGAGTCCAGGTTACCTGAACTAGGTGGAATTACAGTTGGCCAGAGGCATTGAGGATTAAAGAAAATGGGAAGAAAGGAATTTCAATGCACTCAGAACTGAGATCTCAACTCCTCCAGCATTGCCCCTTCCTCTTTGGAATCATGGATTTCATAAACCCCCAGGTCATTTTCAGCAACATAGTACAAGGTTCTATTCTTGGAACTCATAGTAAGTTCATTGGCCAGACCAACACTATTCAAAACAATCACCACAAGTGGATGGTTAACAGTCTTATATGCAATTATGACATTTTCCCCTTGTTTAACATGTCTAGATGGATGTATTGATATTTGTGTATTTCTAGGAGCTACTGTGAAAACAGAAAATATATAGTAGATCTTGCCATCTGGAAATGGCCAGATAAGTAAAATTTGCTTTACATTGGCAAGTATTTGCTGACTTTCACTTATGTTGAGCCTCTTAAAAGTTGGCATTTGTAGTGCCATTCACTTTACCACTAACTATGGCTTCAAGTGCACCACAGGCTCTCATTAGTGAGCAAGAAGTGTGAGGCCGATTAATGAAGGCTGACACAGCCCATTTCTACCAGTAAGATCAACAGATCATACCTATTGTGCATTCACACACCTATTGTGCTCCCCCTCAAATGTCTTTGATGAGGCCATTGTCCCTCCCTCTCCCTGTACACCTGTGTGTGTGTGTGTGTGTGTGTGTGTGTATACTGGGGCTGGGGCTTGAATTTAGGGCGTTGTCCCTGTACTTTTTCACTCAAGGCTAGTGCTCTACCACTTGAGCCACAGCTCCACTTGTGGATTTTTGGTGGTTAAATGGAGAAAATAGACATATACTTTTCTGCACAGGCTGGATTTGAGGCATTGATCCTCAGGTCTCAGCCTCCTGAGTAGCTACGATTACAGTTGTGAGCCACTGGCACTAGGCAGAGATGTGGATTTTAAGGGAAATGATTCTGTAGTCTAGAGGTCTTTTATATGTGTCCAGAATCAAAATTGGAATTTTCCATGATTATCTCTAAAAGAGTCAATGGAGAATATATGAAGTTATTCCTGGTGGACAAAAAATAGTATAGTTTTCTAGTAAGAAGGACGAGGGTCTGGATAGGATTTTTCTTTTCCATTATACCCCCTCTTACTTCTTTAGCTTCCCATGGAAAGGTCTTGGAAAATATGGTAAAATACTTAACAAATCCAAGACCTCAGAGACCAATACTAACTGGGCAACTTTAAAAAGAAAAGAAAGCAAATGGGAATTCCACAGTCATCAATGATTTATGTAAACTTCCTCGTGAAACTCGACAGCTGGGCCTGATTATTTCAGGAAACAAGAAAGAGCCACAGTCAACACAGAATTCAGCTCCTTCATGTAGGAAAGCCCACACTGAAGTCCAAAGACAAAGAGCCCACCTTTAACATCCAGTGTCAGACTTCTTAACTGGGATCCCACTTTGTTTTTCGATTCACACTCGTACACGCCTGCATCCTCCAACTGAGCTTTGCGGATGGTGTACGCGCCATCTACAGACCTCAGTACTGTATCTCCTGTGACTGCTTTTTTCTTCAGGATTATCCAAGTTTCTGGAACATTCCCACAAGTACAGGAGATAATGACAGTGTCTCCTTCCTTGACACTCTCAGAAGGAAAAACTGTCAGTTGTATGTCCTTAGGAAAAACTGAAAAAAAGACCATTGAAAAGGCATCTTTAAGGCAATCCCATCATAAGTTAATAACGTAAGCAAGGCAAGAATGAAGTCAAGCATTTGCTGAATTGTGTTTTAGGCAAGAGAAGACATGACTTATGCATTTTTTCAGTTCTCATAACAGAATTCCTTGTGTGTGTGTGTGTGTGTGTGTGTGTGTGTGTGTGTGTGTGCGCCAGTGCCAGTCCTGGGGCTTGAACTCAGGGCCTGGGCACTGTCCTCAGCTTTTTGGCTCAAGGCTAATGCTCTACCACTTGAGTCACAGCTCTACTTCCAAATTTTTGGTGATTAATTGGAGATTAGGATCTCACAGACTTTACTTTAACTCAGCCTAGCACAGAGAATACAATAAATGGGTATAGAATTCAAATGTTACTGAACCAGAAAATTAAAATCATTGTCATACTGTTTAGCAAAAATTGTTTGTCATCCAAAAGCCTCTGTGTTTTGAGCTAGATTTTCTCAGATGAGGAAATTAAGTTGCACACAGATGGCTTGTTTATTTGTCCTTCACAACACAGTTACTATTTATTAAGTTCCAGGCTGTGGCCTAGGTACTTAAGGTATATTTTTATTAATTCAACTCTAGGAAGGACTTACCTACCCAGCATGAAAATGATTCCTGCTAAGGAATCCCTATTTAAGGCCACAGGGACATGGCATACAATCTCAAAGGATCTTTTCCTGTCTTTTTCTCTTTCTCTTTTTCTTTCTTCTCCTCTTCCTCCCCCTCCTCTCTTCCTTCCCTTCCTTTTCCTTCTCTTTCTTTTTTTTCTTTCCATTTATTTTCTTTGTGTACATGGTTTCTTGAGACATGATCTAGTGATATAGTATATACAGTCTATTTGAACAAGAACTAGCTAGTAGCTCAGGCTGGCCTGAAATTCAGTCCTTTGCCCTTAGCCTCTTCAGAAGGTTTTATTTAAGATTGTGTGTTGAACTTCCAAATTTCTTCCTTTACAATGTAAAACTCAGTGGGGACTGGAGGTGTGGCTCAGTGGTAGAGTGCCCAAACTGTCTAATCCAGCCAGATTGAGTGGTTTTAAACTTAAACCATTTACAATTACACATTTCTTCCTGTCTTTATTTCAATAATTGTCTCCCAAGAGCCACTGGAACTTTTGGCACAAGTCCTGGAGCTAGCAGTTCAAAAGAAAACTTTAGGGTTGTTAAAAGAACTTTGGACTGTTTGATGAGCAAGTTCTATTTCAGGAAACAACAAGAATGATCTAATGTTCTATATATAGGAAACATCATGAATGCTTTTTAAAAAAAACCCTCAAGGGGCTGGGAAGGTGGCTCAGTGGTAGAGCGCTTGCCTTGCATGCATGAGGCCCTGACTTCGATTCCTCAGCACCACATATGCAAAAAGAAAAAAGCCGGAAGTGGCGCTGTAGCTCAAATGGTAGAGCGCTAGCCTTGAGCTGAAGAGCTGAAGGACAGCGCCCAGGCCCACAGTTCAGGCCCCACGACTGGACCCAAAAAAAAACAAAAACAAAAACGAAACCCTCAATACACTGGGTGCTTGTGGCTCATACCTATAATCCTAGCTACTTAGGAGACTGAGATCTGAGGATCTGCCAGCCCAGGCAGAAAAGCCCAATTAATTACCAAAATGAGCTGGAAGTGGAGTTGTGGTTCAAGTGGTAGAGTGCAAGCCTTGAATACAAAAACTCAGGGACAGTGTCCAGGCTCTAAAGTCAAGCCTCTGGATAGGCACAAAAACAAAACAAAACAAAAATCCTTAATACATTTCTTTTTAAATAAAAGCTTTATTTAAGCTGGGCACAGGAAACTCACACCTGTAATCTCAGCTACTCAAGAGGGTAAGATCTGAGAATCAAGGTTGAGTTGACAAATCAGAGAGATTCTTCTCACCAATTAAACAGCAAAAAGCCAAAATTGGAGGTGTGGTCCAAGTGGTAGAATACCAGTTATAGGTGAGAAAGCCAAGCAAGAAGAGCTTTTAGGCCTAGGACTTGGAGGCCTGAGTGAGTTATTAGAGCACTAGCCAATGAGCAAAAACATAATGTACCAAACAAGTTAGAATCCCAGTCTCAGACCAAAAAGAAAAAAAAGAGAGAGGTCTAGAGTTCAAGCCCTAGTACTCTCTCTCTCTCTCTCTCTCTCTCTCTCTCTCTCTCTCTCTCTCACATACACACACACACTTTGCTTCCAAGGAAGGTTTTGTTCATCATCAGAAAGATAACTTAAGAAAATCCTAGTGAGGGCCATACTGTGCTCACCTTGTACAATTAATTCAATTTCTTTTCTGCTTATTCCAGCCTGGTTAATCCCTTCACACACATATATGCCAGAATCTTCTATTTTTGTAGAGATGAAGGTGAGAGTTGTATTCTCAGAAAGAGGCTGGAGAGCACCATTGCTCAGCTGTCTGCTCCACAGAATTTTTGGATCTGGGAAGCCATCACTAAAGCATGTCATATTCACAGAGCTGCCTTCCTCCAGGATGGAGGAGGGGCTGACGAACACCGTAGTGTCCTTAGGAGCAACTGAAAAGGGAGAAACACTCATTAGATTGACATTCTCATGCTCTCAGTTCTGAAGAGTTTCAATGACACTGTAAAACCGGGCAATGGAGCCCATGCTTTTGTCTACACATCTTGACCACCAGCAGAGCCTTCTGTCTGCATTTACTCTGGGAGATGCAGATAAGTAGCACACAAACAAGTCATGGCTATTTCCTAATGGAAGGAAGTTCTGTTGGATCCTTCTTGCTACCAAAGCAGTGTGAGTGTGTATTTGCCCTTTGTGGTGCACTACACATGACTAAGACCTATTGGAATCTCCTCTGGGAATAAGTGAATATTATCTTCTCTACCCGTTGAATCTGCACTGACCTTGTAACTCATTTGAGCCCATGGAATACGGACAAAAATGACAGTGACATACCCAAACCCAGGCTTCAAGAGGCAGTTTTCATTGCTGCCTCTTCAGAGGTCTCTAGGGTGGAAAGTGAACCATCTCCCTTGAGAAGATCATGGCATGAAGAAAGAGGTAGAACTGGTCACCCCCAGGAAGGGCCAACACACAAGGGCAAGACCAGCTGAAACCAGCCAGAGGCTGAGCTGGATTGAGGATGCACTGTTTCTACCAGGCAAAGCAGAATTAACACTCACCTGGCCATTGATGCCAGTGCCTGGAATCTTTAACAAACCAATGGCTATCATTTTATATGTAGGGGAGGTATTTGTCATCGACATTATTAATTTGAATTTTTTCTTTTTTCCCCAGGAGTTTTGTGTGTGTGTGTGTGTGTGTTTAACTATTAATCTCTTGTTAACCATTGCCTGACAAAGGAGAGAAAGCAATCAATCCAATGTAAAGAGTATCCAGATGTAGCATGCACATAATTACCATTTACATACAGCGTCTGTGTACTCTGCCTTTGTTTGGGTTCAGATTCCATCTCACCCATATGTAACTTGGCCAGACAAACAAGAGCTTTTCCAGTATCTTCAGTGGTGGGGGTGAAGGTCATGTCCAAACTTTTGGTCTCCAGGGATTTCCTGTCTGTTCCCTCCAAAAACTGTTTACTTGCCAAAATCGTTCCTTCCTTTAATAATTCAATCTCCAAATGATCAAAAGGGTACACATTAGGCACTGTGCAGTTCACGGTGACGGGGCTCCCACTCACGAGCAGGCCGCTCATCTCAATTTCTGGATCTCTAGGGAAGGCTGTAAATATCAATCAAAAAGGTTGTGTGAGACATTCAGGAGAAAATGGAGTTCTGGTCTGTTAAATGCACAGGATTCATAATGGCATCTCTACAACTCAGCTGGGAAAAAAATCTCAAGCCTAGGTGTCCGTGGCTCACGCCTGTCATCCTAACTTCTCAGGAGGCTGAGATCTGAGGATCAAAAGTTTGAAACCAAGCAGACAAATCTACGAGACTCTCCAATTAACAGCAAAAAAAACACCAGGAAGTCAGGATATGGCTGAAGGGGGAGAGCCCCAGCTCTGAGTGAAAAGCGAGGGGAAAGTGTGAGGCCCTGAAATCGACACACACACACACACACACACACACGCACACACACACACACACGTACGCACGCACACACACACACACAAGTACATACATGACATTAAGCCTAAACACAAAATTATAATATTGATTATAATATTGTTGGAAACAGTACATAATCTTTTCTAATGATGCCATCTGACCAACCACATACCTGATCTTTGCTAAATCCATTCAGCTTTCCCTGTGTTACCTGTAGACTCTGTCTGTGAGATGTGTAAAATATTTGTGAGTACTTAGCATGAACTAATGCTAAATGTAAGTAATGCTATCTCCGTCTTCTAGGCAGCCCATAAAATGGTATCATTTCATTGTCTCATGGCTAGTAAAACCGAATTTTTTTTTTTTTGTCGGTCGTGGGGCTTGAACTCTGGGCCTGGGCGCTGTCCCTCAGCTCTTCAGCTCAAGGCGAGCGCTCTACCACTTGAGCTACAGTGCCATTTCCGGTTTTCTGGTGGTTTATTGGAGATAGGAGTCTCACAGTCTCTCCTGCCCGGGCTGGCTTTGAACCGCGATCCTCAGATCTCAGCCTCCTGAGTAGCTAGGATTACAGGCGTGAGCCACCAGCGGCCGGCTGTAAAACTGAATTTTTTTGAAAGGCTACAAGACTTCTCTGACTTTAGAATCTGGGCTGTTCAGCTTCTCTGTATCAAATAAGACTCTAAGGGTAGCTCCTAATCTAGGCAGTTTAGCTAATGATAAAATATAGGCAACAATGTTAAAGTATGTCTCAGATAATTCTTATTAAGAAAAGAATTTATAATTTAGGCTCTAATCTAATTACATAGAATGTAAACTGTATCGTAACATGTGTAATACATCCTATGCAAATTGATGAGACTGAAATAGTTATCAAGGATAAAATCGCATGACAAAGCTTTTCTCCCTGAAGTACAAGGCTATGAAAGTAATATATTTTCAAATGTTTCCTTCCATATTGCAGGAAGACTTCACCACTGGTTTTCACCTCTTCTGAGAATGTGCCTACATCAGCAGCTTCTAGGTAATACGATAAAGCAGTAAAATTCACCCTCCTCTGGAGAGATTTAAATCCCTTTACAGACATTCACTCCTTCTGGGCAAAAACTTGAAGGATAGCACAAATTTGGGCAGGGTTTGTGGCGGGAAGAAAAAAAACCTTCATAAGTTGTGCTTTGGAGTTTATTTAATAAGATAGGTCAAGGTGATCCCTTCAAAAATAAAAACCCCAGGGGCTGGGAAGGTGGCTCAGTGGTAGAGTGCTTGCCTTGCATGCATGAGGCCCTGGGTTCGATTCCTCAGCACCACATTAGCAAAAAGAAAAAATCCGGAAGTGGTGCTGTGGCTCAAGTGGTAGAGCGCTAGCCTTGAGATGAAGAGCTGAGGGACAGCGCCCAGGCCCAGAGTTCAGGCCCCACAACTGGACCCAAAAAATAAAAAATTAAAAACTCCATAACTTCATGGTTCCTTTGCATATTTTCTTCTGGATTCATTATACAGTAAGATGCCTCCACAACCTCAGATTCATGGGGAGTCAAGGTTGCAAAGGATTTTCAGGAAGGCAGCAAGAAGAATAAGGTAAATGGATTTCAGGACCCGAGGCTGCCTCAGGATTCTTGGGATTCTGCTCCAGCACACACCTGAGCTTTTATAGCCTCTGGCCTGCCTCGTCTCCTGTCCACTCCCTGTCTTCAGTTTGTGGCTTTCTGCTGCTTCCCAATTGCCTCATTTTACGCCATTCTGTGGATTAAGCAGAAGGCTTCATTTTCACCCTCAGTTTGAATTGCTCAGTGGTAGCCACCCCTACTCAGTTATCTGGACTGAAGCTGCACCCCCTCACACACACACTATTCTTACTGTCATCTCCATACACCCCCGCATACCCATGAAGGGGTGTGGAGGAGGAGGGACATAAGTGTGACCAAATTCAGGGTGAAACAATACAAGAAGAGGAAGTAAGGACTGTAATTGTGATGTGCACATGCAATGTACAATGTGCTCATGAGTCAAGCCGATCATGTCTCACCAAACTGCATTCATTCTCAGAGATGTAGGAACCATTCACAAGGTTAAATTCTCCTTCTAAACCAATGAATCCCATTGCCTATCACAGATGAGGATTCTTTTTCTTCCCATAGAAATGGGAAAACAACACAGCGACCAGTGGTGAAAATCACTTACAGTAGAGTTCCACCTGAATCCCCTTTTCCTGCTTCTTAGGTCCACAGGTCGCTGTGCACAGGTAAGAGTGCTCGTTCTTGAAACTCACAGGGCTCAGGGTCAGGGTGGACTTGGCTCTGACACTCTGCACCTGCCCGCTCAGAGGGCTGTCTATCTGCGTTCTCCAAGACAATGATGGAGACTCGCAGCCTGTGACGGAACAGGTCAGCACCATGGTGTCCCCAATCTGGGCAGCAACCCGCGAGCCAGGAGAGATGTCCATGGTAAATGGTTTCTCTAGGGAGAAGAAAGGACAAGATGTATAACGGATAAGATGCTTTCCTTCATCACAATCTCATTTATAGACCCAATTGTCCTCAACCCTCTCCACAACTGTCTGTTCCAGGAAAGAATTACTCTTTCCACTTCATAACCATGAGTTACAAGACCATATCTCATCTCTCTGTGAGTGTGTGTGTGTGTGTGTGTGTGTGTGTGTGTGTTTTAGAACTGAGGCCTGAAATCAGGGGCCTTAGGCTCTCAGTTGTCTATATTACTTCAGGCTAGTGCTGTATCATTTCAGCAACTCATCCACTTCCAGCTATTTGGTGCTTAATTGGAGATAAGAGTCTCATGAGCTTTCTTGCCTAGACTGCCTCTGAACTGCGATCCTCAGATTTCGGCCTCCTGAGTAGCTAGGATTAGAAGCATGAGCAACTAGCACCTAGCTAAAACCATAATTTTTAAAAATAGTGAATCCATTTGAGGGCAATCAAAGCAGAATAGTTATAGACAGATGTGAGTGGCTGGCATCGTTCTTGGCAATAATCCAGTCTCTGTTTGGGTATAGCTTGTTAGGTCACTGTAATGCAAACAGAAGATCGGATCCTTTGCTTGTTCCTGTGTGTCAGGTGGCTTGCATATCACTTCCCATAGATTATATATTTTAATCATCATGACAACTCCACAAACTGACCTGTTTTCTCCTCTTTTCCCTTCTCCTTCTGCCTCTCTCCTTTCTCTTCCTCCCCCTATCCCACCTCTTTCTCCGGAAGGCAAGTTAGGCTCTGCTGTTAAATAATAATTTCACCCAACTTGTAAGGGGCAAAATTGGGACTTTAGTCACGATTCCAAATTTCAGTTGCTACAACAACTATGTCTAGTCATTCTAAGGGGAAAATAGAAGAAGTTCTGAAAAATATCACACACCTTCCAAACACACCAATGTCTTCTAATTATGAATCTGTGCCAGCATTGTCTGTTTCAATAACACTAAGCTATATCTTTGAGAGTTGCATAGAATCATACTAAAAGCAATGTAACTAGTTAAGTGGTAAAATTGTTAAGTTACCCCTCAAATATGTGGATGAAATATAAAAATATTTTACAACTAATTCACGGTCTGAAAGTTGAGAAGTGAGGACAACTCTGGTTATTCAGGAAAGCTGTCCACTTGGGCTTTGTTTTTCTTCCAATACTGCAATTGGAATTTAGAGTCCTGTGCTTGCTAGACAGGTGCTCTGCTACCTGAGTCAGGCATCAGCCCTTTCAGCATTAGCTTTTTAAAAAATAGTATCTCAGGCTTTCCTGGACCATTGTCCTCCTATTTTGTGCTTCCTGCACACCTAGGATACAAACACAAGCCCAGCATTATTTTATTTGTTGAGATGGTAGCGCAAATGGCAACGCTCTAGCCTTGAATGAAAAGGCTAAAGGAAAGAACCCAGGGTCTGAGTTCAGGCTCCAGTATTGACACACACAAGTAATAATAATAATTGAGATGATTTGCTAAAGTGGTAAAGTACGGGTTGTGATCCTGTAACTGAAGAGCTATTGGACCTTATTTGGCAACTAACAAACCATGCTGACTCTGAGTTTTTAGCTATCTCATAGAATTCTGGAAAAAGATCAGTATGGTTCATAATTTGCCAGATGACTCCTAGCAAATGCTAGTATACAATCAATAGCTAGTACAACAATTCTTCTGAGACTCCATTCTCTCATCCGAACCATGGAAACCAAATACTCACCCTCAGTTATTCCTTGAAGGTTGGACTTAGCTTATATTAAGAAATATAGCTGGTAGTTTATGAATGCTGTTTTATAAGAACTCAACTGAGAAGGGATAAAAATAATACATGATAGCAAGAGAGTTGAAGAGGAGGTCAGATTCTTGGGATCATGCTGAGAAGAACTATAGGATCTGCTGACATGAATCCGGATTTGAGAATAACCAGTGTATGAGGGTTCTGTTGTCAGGCAGAGTGAAATGAGATGCCCAGGTGGGGTAATTTGAATATAGCATCATCCATGGAGCAAGAGGAAGGAAAGAAGCCAGGCAATGCAGCAGTGGGGAATAATGTGATCTAGAAAAGAATGAGAGAAGCAGAGCCATAAAGCTCTGGGAGGAAAGCCTTCCTAACTGTCAGAGTATGATAAATATTTGTGCCAAAGTACATAGCCATCCAACAGGTTCTCATGGAAAGGATCAGGAAGCAATTCAACATTCAAGCTTTATCACCATTGCTCTACTCCCAACCATAGCGCCATGATCATGCCTTCTGCCACCCCCACCCCATCCCCGCCTCCTGGCTCCACGTTCTATTCACCTTGAACAACTAATTCCACTTCTGTTCTGTGTCTTCCAATCAGATTAGCTCCTTCACACACATAAATTCCAGAATCTTCTATCCTCATAGCAATTAAGGTTAGAGTTGAATTCCCAGAGAGTGGCTGCAGATTCTCATTCTCCAGTTTCTTGCTCCAGAAAATTTCAGGAGCCGGTAGACCCTCGCTGGAGCAGGTCATCGTCACAGAGTCGCCTTCTTGCAGCCTTGTGGAGGGCTGCACAGAGATGACTGTGTTTCGGGGTGAGACTGGAAAGACAGGACATAGGCAAGGCCATTGTTATGCATCATCTTTAGCCACTAGGTTTGCAGGCTGTATTTGTGGACCTTCCCACATCTACAAACTACCTGGTCATGGTAGCACAGAACAAGCCAATTTATGAATAACTCATTGAGGTGTGTGTTTTTTTGGGGGGATGTTTGGTTGTTTTCAGATCGACATAAATATTTAGAAATTGCCTGAGGATCATGTGGCTTAGTGAATGTCCTAACTGAAGAAGGAATCCATCCAAGAGTCCCTTCCAAAAACTCATCCCGGTCAGCTGAAAAGTGACCTGTGGATCACATAGCCTACAAAAGGGTCAAGCTGACTTCTGAATCCTTCATTATGAAGATGTTTTGCCTCTATTTAGCTGGAATTTTCCTTTCTGTAACTCACTCTTCCACTTTGGTCATAGTTCTGCTCCCTGAGATTGCAGAGTAAATTAAGTCCTTCTCTGACATAAAATTGACTTTCCAGCAGAAAAGAGATCTCTAATCAAGTCACTGAGAGACAATTGGTTTCATTGTTTTCTCTTCCCCCTCCCTATCTTAACTATTCTTCTCAAAACCTTGTTAAAAATCCCTCCCATCTCATTCTCTTCTGACTAAATGTGCAATAATTATCACTAGTCCTTTTGAATGGAATGCCCATAGAAGAATGGAGTATTTTAGCATAAAACAGTACAGTTTTCTGGGCACAATTTTAGGATAATAAAACTGTTCCCCAGATTCCTTGGCAGTCTTGGAGAGATGGGGGAATCAAATCCCATCACTGCCCATCCACCTGATGCACATATGCATGGTTGAGCTTACACGTATGCACAAGTATATATACACCCATGCACTCACAGAGAATAACTTGCTCCAGTCCTATCTCTATGACACTAATATTTCAAGTGATAATATACTAGCCTATAGACATGATCTAAAACATGTTGTTATTGGAGCCTATTTCTTCCTACCCTGTCAGGTATGATTATTTCTGCTGGACAGGTAGAGAAATAGACAAATTAAGGAACCCTTAGTTTCACAGTTAACAGAGCCAGGAAATTAAGCTCAAGTCTTCTCAAACCAAATTCAGTGTTCTTTTCATTATGCTATTGGAATATATATACTTGTTGTCAAATAAATTCTTACTGAATTCCCATGGACTAGACCACATCCCACAAGTACATACTGTAGACTTGCAGCTCTTTGGTAGTCTCCCTTTCTTTGGGTGCAGAATTCATTTCATCAATGTGTAATTTAGCTCGGCAAACAAGAGCTTTTCCAATATCCTCAATGACAGGGGTAAAGGTCACTTCCAAAGTCTTGGTTTCCAGAGACTTCCTTTCCATGTCTTCCAGAAAGTCCTGATTTTTCATGAGATGATCGCCTTTCAGTAAATCCACCTCCAGCCTGTCAAAGGGGTATACATCAGGGACCACACACTGGGCCGTAATTGGCTTTCCAACCTCCAGAGGGCCACTGAGATGAATCTCTGGATCCTTAGGGAAAGCTGGAAAGGACAAATGAGTCCATAAGTGACTTTCTGCTCATGTTGATAAGATCGTTTACTGATTTCCAACAATGCAAATGAAATCTAATGTTTTGGTTAATCTAGTCAATCCAGTAAAATGAATTATTTAATTAGATTTTTATGGTTTGGGATGCTCTCAGGAGGTCAGAATCAGTTATGTATTGGAGCATTCTTCCATTTTGACTCTGTATATATTAAAGGTTGTATGTTACCTGAGTAAAAGAAGGGAACAAGCACTATCGTTTATTGAAACCTTAGGTGCCTGTAACCATGCTATAGACCTAACACAGATTATTTTGTTTTACCTTGTTTTAAGGTTTTTATTAGCATCTGCTAGTTTGTAGAAGGTGGGAGTTTCCTTGTGACTTTCCATACATACATACACACACTGCTTTGGTTTTGCAGATAAGAAAATATGGATTTAGTATTTGCATAATTTTGCCTGAGGGCACACAGCTGATAAAGGTCAAAGCTAGGATTTAAACTCAGGATTTCTATTCTTTTGTATCACTACTGCAGATTAATACTACATTGTACCACATTATCTTATTCTAGTCAGGGCAGATGTAGTTCCATTTTGAAGATAAGGGGCAGCTTGGAATATCTTTGTAAAAAATAGTTTTTGTGCAGGGTATGCAAGGCTTCTGACCCTGTTGCTGGTGCCTCACATCTGTGATCTGAGCTACTCAGGAGGCTGAAGCCCACATGACTTCAGTTCAAAGCTAGTGTGAGCAGAAACATCCATGTAACTCCATCTCCAATTAACCAGCCAAAAGCTGGACTGGACACATGGATCAAACAATAGAGCACCAGCCTTGAGCAAGAATACTGAAGGAGCATGAAATTCTAGGACCAGAAAAAAAATTCATCCAGCAGAAAGGTTGCTTCTATGCAACCTTTCAATACTAGATTTACTTCCTGAACTGCCTAAGAACTAGTGCTCCAATTAGACCTCTATCAAACTTTCTAGAACAAAAGGACACAGAATCTCATCACCTTTGCAAAGTATACCTCTGTCGCATACTGTTTTGATGTTAACAAGTTGGTAGATTTGGGACTAGGTAATAAAAAGAATACCAAGGTCAATTTCTCAGAACATAATAATCAAATGTGGAATGGACACAGAACTTTTACACATAATGGGAAACAGACATTCTTGGGGGGGTGGGGGAGGGACACAACATAGGCAACATAATTAAAGCCAGAAGGGTCCTTAATTCTCTTTTGAAAGTCTTCAACTGGTACATATGGGCATAAGACAAAGGAAATGGTATTTGAAATTTTTTCCATCAGTTCTTTCTGTCCCAAATACTGTGTGAAATGTGCAGATAATCCAGCATAGTTTTACGACAGGTAATATAAGAATGTACTAGTTTCCCTTGTATTTACATAAGGGGACCTTTCGAAGCGCTCAGGAGGCAGCCAGACATAAACTATGCATGTACAACCAGCATAATTGAAAGCAGCCGGCCAGGCCCACTTCCTCTAGAAGCTTTAGAAACACATGGGCCTTGTTGAAATTCCCATTAAGGTTACTGGGCAAAGTTGGATTTGGCTACAGTAGAAAGGTACCAATGTAATTATGAGAAAATTGAATGAGATGTTCATAAAGAAATGACCATGCATGTGCATAGTCTTAATGTTTCATCTTGTTTATTTAGAAAAAGACCATCGATAACTAAAGGGAATTGATTTAAGTAAGGTTTATATTTTACTCTTGTTGATGATTTTATTTATGGAGTTGAAAAGGGTGCAAAATTGCATTTTTTGGCAAGCTGGTACATGAAGAGCGTTCACTTACACTTACCAGGAAAACATTTGAGGTTGAATACTAATACTTCACTGCAACAGTAACAACAATAATTTCTAAATTTGTCAACACAGACATGGAATGGATGAAATAAATGTCTGCAGGCATTTCTTGTTGTGTCTACAGAGAATATTTTGTATCTATTACTAAATTAGAGATCTCATACTTAATCTTTAAATGGATTTTAAGCACCAAATTGCCTAAGAATAACATGAATGCAATGTCCCTGAAGGGTAAAATTCATAAATCATGTAGATGCTGGAGCAAGCAAACATGCAAGGATATGATCAAATTCAAGTTTAAAAAATAAACACATTTAAAAAGCCTTCACGATAGTCCATTTTATGACTAAGGAATTCATTCCCAGGAAGACTGAGTCTTTCTTATGCATTCTTGCAATGTTTGTTGCAAACAGAAGTCAAAATTTGGACTAGCCTTAGTCATCTATAACTTTTGGATACTGTATGTTTGCTAGCCAGGAATCTAGAAATGAGTACCTTTTTAACCACTGTTCTTTTTTTAAAAAAAAACTATCTTAAGGCAAAATAGAGATGAGCAAATTTTTCTTTGATAAAAGGAACTCACAGTAGATCTCCACTTGGATTCCTTTTTCCATCTTCCCAGATCCACAGGTTGCGGTGCACAGGTAAGAGTGTTCATTGTCGAAACTCACAGGATCCATTGTCAGCGTGGACTTGGTCCTCTCATGGCTCACCTTCGCGTTTAATGGACTGTCTATCTGGGTTCTCCAAGAGAAAGATGGGGACTCACAACCTGTCGTGCTACAGGTCAATGAGATGGTGTCACCAATCTGTACCAGAGTGCTGTAATCAGGGGAGGTCTCAATTTTAAAAGCTTGAGCTGCAAAGGAAAAGAGAGAGAGAGAGTAAGAGAGAGAAAAAAGAGTGGGAAACAAAGTTAGCTGGTTTGTCTAGAAGTCTATCCTCACATCTCTACTCTAGTACAATATCTCAAATCTATCCTGCGTAATGTCTTTCCTGAACAGCTTCAAACACACTTAAGGTAGCTAAGAAACCCTATCACTACTGCCCAGGAAGGAGCTAGAATCATTACCACCCAGGAGAACTTGTGCATTCTTGACCTTCGTGCTCATTTATCAAAGTTGTTTTGGGATTTTTTTCAAGTTTGACCTCATTAGCAAATACAGGAAACTGAAGAGATATATCTACTACAGACAAATCCAAATTACCCATTTGACATTGGGGGGAAAAAAGAAGAGGGGTATTGCAGTTCTATGACAGTATATAGTGTATAGAAAAATCTCATTAGCACATTAAAAGTTAGCTTAAATTCAGTTTTCCCATTGTTTAAAATCCTTAGTGCTTTTCTTCACTACCCCAGGAAAAATAAAAATGAAGCCAACAAACCAGGGTTAAACATGGAATATTAACATTTGAAACAGATCAAGAAGAACTTACAAGCTGCAAATACAATCCAAAGTAACTCTGAGGCTCCAAAGATTGCGACCATCTTCCCAGGCATTGTGAGTTGCTGCTGCGATGAGAAAATAATGGCTCAATAGGCTTCTTTCTGGCCCCGCTTGAAAGTGCCTGGGCAGTCTTCAGCTCCCAAAGCCAGAGAGGCTGGTGTGAGTGAAATAGAAAGTCTGCTCTTTATAAAAGAGGGTCTTGCTGCAGAGGCAAAGGAGGAGGGAAATCCCTTCAAGGGGAAACCCGGACAGAGCCAGGGAAGAAAAAAACTGCAACTGACACCCTGCCAAGTCCCAGCATTAACCCCTTCAATGGCTCTTAGGACTGAAGTTACTGCCTGTCCTGGGAATGCAAAACACTTCCAACACTACAAAATAAATGCAGGCTGTCCTTGATCTTCAATTCCACAAAGGACTGGCACTCCTGGGAAAATATAAGACAATTTCCATTGCAGAATGAAGGAGCAGTTTGAATCCAATGAAGGCAGATAGACACAGAGACACACACAGAGCCAGAGCCAGAGAGAGAGATTATCCTGCACTTTTTGAATTGGATAAATAACCACTATCATATGAACATATTCTCTCCACTAAAGAAAGTGTGTTTGCAGTTTTAAATTAGAGATGAAAGTTTTTCTTCCAAAAAAAAAAAAGGAAAAGCTTCCTTCTTTTGATGACTTACTTTTTTTTAACAAAAGGGAGTGAACACAACTTCTGAATTTTATATTTCATACAAATAGCTCTTGTGACAAAAGGATCAACTTTCTTAAGTGATTTTTTTAAATGGAAAGTGAAAGAATGTAACTGAGTGTTGATGCCAAAAGAGAGGGAATGATTCTTCTCTTTTGTTTCAGGAAAATTACCAAACCCTTTGGTTCAGGGCTGGCTAATTGGAAGTCTTTCGCAGGCTTAAATGTAACTGTGTGGAATCTGCCTGATAAATCTCTTTTTGTGGTAAGTCTCTATGGCTGTGTGATTTCACCACAAATATAAAAAATAATTTTGTTTTTCTTATAGGAGGGGGAGTGATTTTTAGATTTTTTTTGTTTTGTTTGGCGAAATAACTTCTGTAAAAGCCTCAATGAACTGACTGTTTTAGCATTGCACACACATAGCCCAAGTCTTTGCAAAACGCTTGCCCACCAAAAAGAAACCGGAATAGCTACTTCCTTGTATTATCCACGTGCGGGTCTACCTCCCCCCATTGGGCTATCAATTCCTGTCATGGCCAAGACCAGTTCTTGTTCATGGCTGTTTCCACTTCTACAAATACCTAATGCACAGTGAATACAGAAGAGAAATAATAAATATTAACGGTAATATTTGCAAACAGTAATATCGAAATCCTACGTGAGAAAAAAATTAAAAATTCTCTATGAAAATTCTAGAGCACCCAGACTCATTGGTGTGTAGAACATAAACTGGACTACATGTATTACATGACCAAGCCCACAAGTATAGTTTGTAGTCTGCAAACTTCAGACTTGTAGTCTAACCAACTACCCCCAAACAGCAGACTTATAGACTACAAACATGAAGATTGCCCCCACCTGGCTAAAGAAGCTTCTGGACCTTCTCTTGGATACTGATGTGGCTACCAATAAGATAAAGAGAGAAAACCTGATGGGAAAATCTATTCCAGTGCTAAATTTCACATACCAAGTGTCTAAGGAGATCAGAAAAGTACATTCAAGCAAAACTAGCTGGCCAACAAGCAACCCACAGTCCTTTGCAATGATTGTGTCATGGAAGATAATTAGCATTGTGTAAATTCACTGCTTAACTTTTTTTCTTTTTCTTTTTTTTTTTTTTGCCAGTCATGGGGCTTGAACTCAGAGCCTGGGCACTGTTCCTGAGCTTCTTTTGCTCAGGGCTAGCACTCTACCACTTGAGCCACAGCACCACTTCCAGCTTTTTCTGTTTGTGTGGTACTGAGGAATCGAACCCAGAGCCTCATGAATGCTAGGCAAGCACTCTACCACTGAGCCACATTCCCAGCCTCACTGCTTAATTTTGGGATGGATCAAAAGGGTGTTAGAGCTTAAGAATACGTTTCTCTGAACCTCAAAGACAGATTGACCAAGAAGCTTTAAAATGGGTTTGCTTATGACTCAGTCATCATGTAACAGTTTAGTTCTAGTTTGGATATGATTCTGGGTTGGGAACTTTGGGAAAGTTACTAATCCATTGATTTAACTCCTAGGGGTCTCAACAAGTATCTGATCCTGTCCTTGGTTCCATCTTCGAGTTGATCCTCTGTGCTTCTCTGAGGCTGAGTTGATTACACCCTCTTTAGCGGCCCCACAACCTCTAGTGCATACTGTTGGAGTATGTGTTAATTTATTCCTCACGCCTGGTTTGCTCACTTGTATGGTGTCACATTTTCATCTCAACATCCACCCCAGAAGCAGGCATTTGTTAAAGTTAGGGGAGCATAAATGATCATAAGAGTGTAAGATGATTGACTTGAGACTCACCTGTCTGAATAGAGCATTGCTGGGTTTTATCTTGGAACACGTTCAATCTAATGTGGATCACATGACTACCTAATTTGCTCATCCTTTAAAACTAGAAGAGATCGTTAGCCTTAGAGATGACAGAATCAGGTAAGGAGGATCTCACAGGATATAACAACGGTCCTGATACTGAACTGAGTTAAATTGTAGTGAGGATAAAGTATCAAATGTTCAAATGCAATAAGGGAAGGTTTGACTTGACCACAATCCAGGGGAAAGTATTCTGATGGTTTTAGTTGAAAGGAACTTGAGCTAACCATTGCCACGTGAAACCAAAGTGGCTGCCAGTGAGCCCAAGCTGCACTCATAACTGATCCTTCTCATCACGTGATGCTGTGGTCTTGAGCCCTACACACACTTAGGACCATCTTGGGATCAGAGTGGTCTGGTTTGGGTACTACTCCTTAAGAGAGAAACATTACAAAACAGAGTTGCTCTTGGGAAGTGACAAGGAGGAGGATGGTCTAGATCCTTCCTTGTATGAGCAATTGTAGCAATAGGGCCTGCTCTGTCTCTGAAGAAGGGGCATCCAGGAAGCAAGGGTCCACTAAATAATTAATGAGAAGGAAATGTTTATACCCAAAGTCAAAAGCTAAAAGGGGGACTCCTAAGCCAACTGTTACAGATTATTTGTTCTAGAAGGACCAGGAATGTGTGTGTCCTATGCACTATTACAACTTCAACAATACATAGAGCGACCAGTAGAGAGGAGCTGAGCATACCACTACTGAATGAATCTGAGAGGAGCTTGACTTGCCCCAAGTTCAAATCCAGCCTCCCTACCTAAGAAGTGTGAAGACTGTAAAACGACATGTAGATCCTATGAGCAGATTCATAGAATGTTAGGTTAGGGACAACAGTGAGTCACATGATTTTTTTATGACTATCATATCAAAAGCAATCACGTGAACACTTACCAAGTGGAACAAATTGCTCTCCATGATAGGCAGAAATAAGATGCAACCATAATTACATTCACAGTAAAGAAAGACTTCGCAGTTATTAAGTCTTCTCATCAATGCAATGGGTGGCCTTGTGAATTCAACAGCTACTGAGTACTGGAAGTATCCCAGTGAAGGCTGCATCTTATCTCTGAACAATGCAGGAGAGGTTAAGTTTTGCCTCGTATAAGTTATCTAACTGGCTGGCCTCTGAGGGAGTCCTCCAATGCTAAGATTCCATATCATGATCAGTGCTGCTTATCCTACTCAGCTTCAATCCCATAGTCCTGACCAGCCACTCAGAGATGATAAACATTCTTGGCAGCTGCTAGAGTTGGAATCTGAGATATTTAGGCATGCTTCCTCCAACCAATTTCATTTCAACTCTAGCTCCTTCAAGACTTCCCAGCAGTTAGCTTGCTGTGGACCTCTCAGGGCACATATTCTCCTAACCTTTTCTCTTGGGGAGTCTCACACATTCCCAGCAGTTTGCACCCAGGCGAGAGAAGGAGTAATTCCTTTTTTCAAGGCATGTCAAATGTACAGTGAAAAAGTTATTTGAAAAAGGATTTGACAAATCCTTTTTCACTGGAGAATCTCTACTGCAAATAGATCGACGTGACTTGTGCTTGTGACTTCTTTTTACCTCTGTGTAAACCTTTCACAATGGCTTTACTGAAGACTGGTCTGGAGTCTAGAGTTGAAAGCTGGATTGATTGTTTAAAGAACAATGTAAATCTAGATTGATTTTGACTCTGTCGGCCTTATCATGTGACTCCTCCTCCAGATTCGAACATGGTTGTCCCAGGACCAGGCACCATATCTGTATTTCAGGTAGGAGATAAGAGAAAAGCAAAGGGCAAGGACTCTAAGCTAGTATTTTCCTCTTAGAAGCTTTGCAAGGGGACCAAAACAGTGCCTTCCAGTGATGGCTCCTTGAAAAGAGAGGACACTGTTTTACATGAATACATTCATACCCCACCCTCCTTAATCCACAAACACAAAGGAACAATGAATGAGGAGTAATGGTAACAGAATAGTGATTAGCACTGTCTGTCTGCTTCCTAATTCAACCCAAGTCACAGAATGTTTATGGAGAATCTGCACTAGAAACACCATGTTAACATTAGGAATATGTATAGGAACACAGTTCTGGTACCAGAATGAAGGTGACCTGCATGATATCATAGTTCAATTTATGATGAAATAAAAGGCCACTTTGTTTATCTGCAAATCAGGAAATAAAATACTTTTTAAAAAATTGATAATAAGCTCACTATAGGAAGGATCACTGTGTGGTAGGAAGCCTGCTTTATCAGGACGTTATCATAATTTCTGGGAATTTTAAGGAAAATGTTGCTTACTATCAAGATTTAAAAACTAATCTATTTCATAAAACATATACTTGATATGAGTGGTTTGTTAAATTTTAATTGAGCAATGAATTAAGGTATAAAATAATAATGAGACAAAGATCTCCAACATAAAAATTATTTCAGCCAGGCACCGGTGACTCAGGCCTATAATCATAGCTACTCAGGAGGCTGAGATCTGAGGATCACAGTTCAAAGCCAGCCCAGGCAGGAAAGCCTGTGAAACTCTTATCTCCAATAAACTACCAGAAAACCAGAAGTGGCGCTGTGGCTCAAGTGGTAGAGCGCTCACCTTGAGCTGAAGAGCTGAGGGACCATGACAGACAAAAAAAAAATTCTCTCTTTGCAGATGACATGATC